ACTCCAAGTATGATCTACACTGACTCGTCTACTTCCACTGCACTCTCGGAGTCGGTAACGATCGTTGATCCAAACCCTATATGTATCTTCATATTGTTCCTGGGTGCTCGTAGGGTGAAATTTTTTGTTTTATACTTAAGTTTCCAAACAAGTACGTCCTCTCCGAGCTTGGCTTCCCCATTTTCGGCTTCATGTTTGTGATTTTGGGTGTGTACGAGATGTTATGCATAACCTGACCCTAGGTCAATCTTAGATCTGGCAGTTTTTGTGTAGCTATGCGAGGCTTTTTCTTCACCACCCCTACCAGCGCCTGCTTGGTCTGGTACCTATTTGAGCTCCGGTCCATCTCTCGCCGATCAGGGCAGATGGGATGTTGCACGTTTATTGCAGAAATGTACATTTATTGAAGTTCAGTGCCAGGCCAACACTTTGAGCGAAGGAGTAAAGCAAAACCTTGAGCCTAATAACTTGAGTGATGTAATCCCGCAAAAGGAACATCATGTTATCAGCATATTGGAGGACGGGATAGGGAAGGATGGGCATATGGGGGATGTTGGAGCCCTTCATTGGCGCCAATGGCCATCACAAGACGTTGAAGAATGTCAGCGACCAGGATGAAGAGTGTAGTGACCCGACCTGTTAAGACAGAAGTCTCTGTGCTTACCGTGCTAGTCTCTGGATCGACTTGCCAGCACACACAGTACTCGATGAAATAACAGAAATAACACACATCTTTTTATTACATCAATAGTCTAGGAGCAATATAATTTATTACAAGGATATGGCATAAGGTCAAATAAACCAAATACTGCGGAAGCATAGAAGTAAATGAGTCTATCAACTCCACGAGCAAAAGCTAAGTGTAGAATATTGACCTATTGCACCTTAATCCTTGTCGGATATATATGCAACGTGATAAGTTGCAGCCATATAGGTCAGTACATTGAATGTACCGGTAAGTCACATCATAAGAGTATAATGAAACTATCTGTACATGCAATTTGGCTGGTGGAAAGCTCTAAGTTTAATTTTGCATCAAGCTAATTTGTTCCTAGTACAAAAGATATTATTCTACCACTACAAAATAGCATATGATTGAGATGGTACCCCATCACAACTATTCCCAAAGTTTAATTAAACCCAAATGATTTAAGTTAAGGATGATGAGATCTCCCCGCATTTCCACTACTAGATGATCAAGTTTTCCATAACTGGGGACAGGGCTAATTGATTAGGTTGACACTCTGCAGAGGTTGCGCACTTTTCCCCAACAAGACTCGGCCACCATCATGATTGGAAGATCGAGGCATGGTCTTTCGAAAGTATGCCCCCTTAACCCGCGGATAGGCCGATACACCTACATATTCTACATCACCTAGCTTATCCCGGAAGAGGTCACACTATCTACTCAACTAAGCCAGAGCCCATAATGGCTCGTGGCTGCACACATAAGCTTCTAGACATGAAAACATGTTTGATCCCTTTGATCCTGAGCGGGCGGACCACTCGTGTGCACTCCCATGGATTCCCCATGAATGCTCCCACTGTATTTCGCCACCATTCAAACCAATTCGGCCCAGGTAGTTCACTGATTATCTTAGGTCCTGTTTACTACATTATCACTCATACTTTATCATGAATCACTCCCCAGTCCACGTCTAATTACCAAAGCAATATGATATACAACGGTGGGCGACAATGTTGTAAGGTTCAGACCTACCTCAATGAACTACTGGGTGTAAAGCATCGCCATCCGGCATAAATTCCTATCATGCAATCCTACCACAAAGGACTAAGTGCATATTAAAACATAGGTAATGAAAACATGATCAAGATGTAAACTTGCCTTGGTAATGCTGGTTCAACCCTAGAGAATGATAGTACTCGTCTTCGCACTCCGGACAATCTATCGTCAAAGTAAATAAACATACATAAGCAATCATTTTCGAAAATCAAAATAACATGCAACATGCAAAGACTTGGAAAATCCAAATGAAAATCCAACACACTTAACTTACATGAAATTTTCTAAGTGCAAAAGCAACATGTGACATATGGTTCGAAATGTGATTTGAACTAAAGTGCATACAAGGCATAGTAGTAAAACTATCATGGACAGACTTAATTGTGTGGAAAAAATTGTGACAATGGTCCAAGTTATAGTATTTGGCTACGGTCACAAAATGCAAAAGGATTCAATTCAAACGCGACTAAGGGTTAGGAGATATGGCAGAACCCATCTTTGCAAACTTTTGACAATTTCAAATTTGAATTGTTTTAAATTCAAGTTCAAACTGTATTCGGCCATATCTCCGAAACCTTAACCCCATTTGAATTGATTCCTTTTGCATTTTGTCACAGTAGCCAAATCCTATAACTTGGACCATTGTCACATTTTTCACACAATTAGGATCTGTCCATGATAGTTTTACTACTATGCCTTTTATGCACTTTAGTTCACATCACATTCCGAACCATATGTCACATGTTGTTTGTGCACTTAGAAATTTTCATACAAGTTAATTGTGTTGGATTTTCATTTGGATTTTTCGAGTATTTGCATGTTGCATGTTATTTTGATTCTTGGAAATGATTGCTTATGTATGTTTATTTACTTTGACAATAGATTGTCCGGAGTGCGAAGCCGAGTACTATCATTCTCTAGAGTTGAACCAGCAGTACCAAGGGAAGTTTACATCTTGATCATGTTTTCATTACCTATGTTTTTACATGCACTTAGTCCTTTGCGGTAGGATTGTATGATAGGAATTTATGTCGGATGGCAATGTTTTACACCCAGTAGTTCCATTGAGGTACGTCTGAACCTTACAACATTGTCACCATCGTTGTATATCATATAGCTTCGGTCATCTAGACGTGGATTGGGGAGCGATTCATGATAAAGTATGAGTGACAGTGTAGTAAACAGGACCTAAAATAATTAATAAACTACATGTGCAGAATTGGTTTGAATGGTGGCAACGTACAATTGGAGCATTCATGGGGAATCCATGGGAGTATACACTAGTGGTTCGTCCGCTCAGGATCAAAGGATCAAACGTGTTTTCATGTCTAAAAGCTTACATGTGCAGCCACAGGCCATTATAGACTCTGGCTTAGTTGAGTAGATAGTGTGACCTCTTCCGGGATAGGCTAGCTGATGTAGAATATGTAGGTATACCGCCTATCTGTGGGTTAAGGGGAGGTACTTTTGAAAGACTATGTCTCGATATTCCGGTCTTGGAGGTGGTTGAGTCTTGTGGGGAAAAGTGTCCAACCTCTGCAGAGTGTCAACCTAATTGATTAGCCATGTCCCCGGTTATGGACATATTGAGCATCTAGTAGTGGAAATGCCAGGAGATCTCATCACCCTTAACTTAATCATTTGGGTTTAATTAAACTTTGGGAATAGATTGTGATGGGGGTACCATCTCAATCATATGCTATTTTGTAGTGGTAGAATGATATCTTTTGTACTAGGAAAAAATTAGCTTTATACAAAATTTAACTTAGAGCTTTCCACCAGCCAAATTTCATGTACAAATAGGATTATTATACTCTTATGATGTGACTTACCAGTACATTCAATGTACCGACCTATATGGTTGTAACTTATCATGTTACAGATATATCCGACGAGGATTAAGGTGCAATAGGTCGATGTTCTACACTCAGCTTTTGCTCGTGGAGTTGATGGACTCATTTACTTCTATGCTTCCGCAGTATTTGGTTTATTTGGCCTTATGTTATATCCTTGTAATAAATTGTATTGCTCCTGGACAATCGATGTAATAAAGAGATGTGTGTTATTTTTGTTATTTCATCAAGTATTGTGTGTGCTAGCAAGTCGATCCTGGGACTAGCACGATAAGCACAGTGACTTTGATCCTTACCGGTTTGGGTTGGTACAAAGAGAAGGGTGACAAGGGGCCACCCTACTGAACCTCATGTTTGCATGAGATCCACTTGCCAGGATGACATTGAGGATGATGGTGGGGCGGCTAGATGTGATGTGGTCTAAGATCCAATTGTTGACGTGTATATGTGGATTGACTAGCCCTTTTCATCAGTTCGGACTTATGGTTGTGTTGTCTAGTGCATGAAGTTCAACATGGTATAGAGCCTAAGGACTCGAACTCAAGACCTTAGGCCATGATACCATGCTCAGCTTCATGCACTAGCCAACGTAACCAAAAGTCCGAACTAGTGGAGAGAGGCGGGCAATATATTTCAACACCCCGTCATGTCTAGGCTTATTTAGTCTTTAGATATGGGATTTATATAGGCCACGGAATTATTTTCTTAATACTGCGTTGGCAGGGTCTTGAACTCAACACCAATAATGTCGTTGGGGATGGAAACCTTTTGCATCAAGCACGGTCAAAAGCCAACCATGAGATGGAGTAGAAAGCTTTCTGAAAATTAAGATTGAGCACGGCGGTGGGCATGCGCGCTTCTAGCAGCATTGAACCAACTCAGCCGCAAAGATGAAATTTTCAGAGATGCACCTCCCTTTAAGAAACCTCATATGTTCTGGATGAACCAAAGAGGAGTTTGGAGTCAATAGGTCAAGGCCTTAGTTTCAAAGAGAGATGTGTCTGAAGTTCTTTGCCAACATAGGGAAATCAGATTAGGGGAGAAGCGTGATGTAGGACCGGTCGAATCCAAAGAGGTCTGCATCTATATCTATACTACTATTAAACAATCAAACTAGAACTTCTTTAAGCACACCCCACAAAGCGTACACAGATCCAATACCACCGCACGATTAGGTCCACAAAATCAATCTAACGGTTAGCCTTAACCTAAACCATTTTCTGTGTGCACTTAGCAATTTACATTGACTGACCGTACTCCACCGTGGAGAAAAATATGAAACTCCACGCCTGAGCAATTAGGAAACTAATAATCACAAGTGCATCCTATTCTAGGAAACTAAATCAGAGCGCATCCATCCTATTAGGAAACTAATCTCAGACAAATCCATCCTATTAAAAAACTTATCTCGAACACATCCATCCTATTAGGAAGCTAATCGCGAGCCGCCTGCCGCCATCATGCATGCTAGACACGATGGGGGAAGAGCGAGGAGCTTCGTCTTCCTTCGGGAACACACGTGCTATCGCCGCCATCGTCTTCTACCTGGAGGCCAGGCGCTCTTCTGCCACTACTGCGACGACTCCATCCACGTCCAGGGCATGCTCTTCGGCAACCATCGGCATCCGCATTGACTTCAGCTCCGTTCGCAGCACCCACGCCGACAAAGTGTCTGTTCAGTGGATGCACGTGCATTACATATTAATCTATACTTCTATACTACTATTAAACAATCAAAGAAGAACTTCTTTAAGCACACCCCACAAAGCGTACACAGATCTAATACCACCGCATGATTAGACCCACTAAAATCAATCTAACGGTTAGCCTTAATTTAAACCATTTTCTGTGTGCACTTAGCAATTTACATTGACTGATCGTACTCCACCGTGAAGAAAAATATGAAACTCCACACCTGAGCAATTAGGAAACTAATAATCACTGGTGCATCCTATTTTAGGAAACTAATCTCAGACAAATCCATCCTATTAGAAAACTAATCTCAGACAAATCCATCCTATTAAAAAACTTATCTCAGATGCATCCATCCTATTAGGAAGCTAGCCACGATGGGGGAAGCACGAGGAGCTTCGTCTTCCTCCGGGAACACACGTGCTATCGCCGCCATCGTCTTCTGCCTAGAGGCCAGGCGCTCTTCTGCCGCTACTGCGACGACTCCATCCACATCCAGGGTAAGCTCTCCGGCAACCATCGGCATCCACGTTGACTTCAGCTCCGTTCGCAGCACCCACGCCGACAAAGTGTCTGTTCAGTGGGTGCACGTGCATTAAATATTAAATAAGAATCATGGGGCTTCAAGCAATCTAGAATTATAGATTTGGGATTATCTTAGGGTGCGTTTGGTTACAAGGGTGGTCATGAATGGATTGGGATCGTTCAAAAAATAGACATGTTTGGTTATAAAGCACATGAATGGTTCAAGTCAAAAAAAGAGAATATGCCTTGAAGATGCTGAACCGTTCCACCCAACCAAATCGGTCGAATCAAATGGCCACGCTTTGCATGCATGACTATGTGAGCATGACTGGTGGTCCCGTCCTAAATAATTAGCTCATCTCTTATATTCAGCCAAACACATGAATTGAATGGTTCAATCCCAAATAAATTGGACAGTCCCAACCCATTCATATGACACCTTCAACCAAACGCATCCTTAGGTTCCCGATTGCTGTACTGAAAATGTGTAATTATATATGGCACATACATAAGAATGCAGCAATCTTGTCTTACAAAGTAGGATCAAGAGGGATACTGAAGAAGTCAAGATGCAGAGTCTATTTCCCATGATTACTTCTCATGTTCATGTCGGCTTCCTTGTGCTTTACTTCCTACCACCATATGTATTATACTGGACCGTATCAAGAGGTAACGACATCCCCTTGATTAGAATTGTCTTATTTGTGCTATTTGATCAGTGTGTGTTTTACGTATGACGTTGCTTTACCTGGAATTAAGGTGGGTTGCACCTGCCTAGGCACTATCTCCAGGGATAGGTTGGAAATCAGAATATATGATTCATTCTTAGAGAAAATTTTACACACGTCACTTTAACATAATTGCATAGCAATCCAGTAAATTATGTAAGATTCAGTAGGAGGCAAGATATTGAAGATGTACTACTATTTCAGTTACATGATTCTATACATCTAAAACGGGTCACATGACTCTGTAACTGTTGTTAGAGAATATCTCTCGCTGTTCTGTAAAGGTATGCAATCTCTATTGCGTTCCAATAAAGAGAATTTTACCATACAAAAGGATCCAATGAAAAAACTAATACGGCTGAGTTCCAATAAATAGATCCTTCAAAGGATCTGTCCTAATACAACTGCCGTATATTGGTACAAAGAAATCATATAAACTGTACTCGATCGGATTTATTTTGTTTCATGACAGAGAAACCAAATACCTTTCGCTATTTTGGCACATATATTTATTCTTATATACTTGTGCAATTTCGAATGATCCAACATATCTACAGTCATCAAACTTGAAGACATGTTGTTTAAGGCCTTATTTGCACCGCCACTCTTTCTTTGTCTACGCACCTCTTTCCTCCAATAATAATAATGAACAATTTTTTCCAGATCAGGTATTACACTGTTACAAATGTATATTGAAGCTACTCCTTACGACAAGGAAAAAGAGGATGAATGCTTTCTATCTTCATCAGTTTTGTAGCATGTTCCAAATTGTTGGCTCTTTCTTATTTGAGGATTCATCATTTTTTTGTAATTTAGAAACTGACTTGAAAGCTTGATAAGGTTAAGCTTGACAAATACTCTAGAATACTTTTCCTTCCATCTTTATTTTTTTTCATAACTCATTTCAGTTTCTATTCGTACAAAGCGTGTTACATCATTGTAAGTTACTATGGCTGCCAACGCATAAACACATACAAACCCGGATAAATATTTTCTATCATGATAATTATTGGATTTCTTTTAGCCCTTTTACATTTCAATTAGTTCTTGTAAATCATCTTTATTTCATATAGAAGTCGTTGTAGTCACATATCATCTTCTATTTCCTATTATCCATAGTAGGTAGCTATATAATTTTGGCAGTCCACACAACCAAAAAATATATATAATTTGATCCAAATTAGTACAAATATATATTTTTATATGCGGATTAGTAGAATAAAATAAGATTCGAGAATTAAGCATCTTGAACAATATAATTGCATCGTAAGGCAGTTTATACTTTTTTTCCTGGCTACACTCGAAGAGAAGACTATACTACATGCCTATATTACTGGATTAATAAATAATTACTGATTTTATTCAAATGAGAATATTTTCCTTCTATTACTCTATGTAGCAACATAACCACTATTGTGTCTCGCTTTTGAAAATACAATTTGAGCGACATCAAACATTGTGTATCCATTTGATTTATCTTTTTAAAAATGTTTATTTTTTTTATATTATATGAATTCACCTGTTTTACGTTTGAGATGTGCGTTGCACGTGCATGCTTACTAGTGGTGATGAAAGAAGTCACTGGCTAGTTGGACGAAGACAAGCTCCATGAAGAGAGGGCAAAAACATTAGGATGAGAAGCTAATGACATGGCAACATAGGGCAGATGCTTACATCGATGTGTAGAATGGGATCTTGAGATAGGACGAATCAATTTTACAAAAATAAATGGCGTACTATCGATACGACTATTTCACCATAAAGTGAGGAATGTAATCCTTATTTAGAAATACTAGCACATATGTCTGTGCGTTGCAACGTGAGAAAAAATAATATGCATTTAAAGTTAGTGAGAATTATATGTGCAAGCAAAACCCTGTGTGCATGTGAAAAAAGAACATTTAATTTCTCGGTTTCGTCGGGTATGAAGTAATCAATCCATTATTTTTTCATTCATTGATCGAGGGCATTTAAGAAAGGCCCATGAATTATTCAATCTACTTTTCCTTTCAGTCGAGGAAATTTTAAGGGATGAAATTTCTAAATATTGTAGGCAGCAAGAACCTTTTTTTAAATCCTGAATAGTTTTTTGAAAATTATGTACATTTTCAGAAAAACGCGAACAAAATTTGAAACAGAAACATCTTTTAAAATTCACAAACATTTTTTGAAAATACCAACTTTTTTAATAAAAACATGAACATTATTTTAATTTGTGAACATTTTTTAAGAATGAGAACATGTGTAGAAAATTCATAACATTTTTCAAAAAAATGTATCTTTTAATGTTATAGTGAATTAAGAAAAATTCACTAAAACAAGAATATTTTTCGAATTCGGAGAATTTTATAAAATACCATTTTCTTTTTAGAAATCTTAAACAATTTTGAAAAACAACAAAAGTTTTTGAAAAAATGGGAAACTTTTTCAAAATAGTAAACAAATTTGGAATTCTGAACATTTTCTATAATTTGATTTTTTATTGAAATTCTGAATGTTTTTTGAGAATTCTGAATTTATGAAATAAATTCTATTAGAAAAATAAACTTGGAAGGGAAAAAAGAGATAGGGGAAGGAGAATGAAAATAGAAGTAAAACACAGAAAGAAAGAAAAATAGGCCAGCCCATTATTGGTTGTCCTATGTGAAGCTCCGACTATTTATCGCACTGTGCGGAAAATAGAATTTTCCCATTTTTCAGGAAAGAATTTTCCAAGTTGCGTGGGTAAAAAAATAAGTGGGCTGGCCATAGTGCGTGGCCCACGTACAAAATTCTGGAAAAGCCTTTTTTCTAGCAGACGTACTCATAAGAATTTATTACCACCACAGATAGAAAAAAAATATTTTTGGCTGTGAAGGGATGAAAAAATTGGCGAAACGCACATTGCTTTATTAGTAGATATAGATATAGATATAGAGGTATAGATTTCAATGTACTAAAAATAGAGGGTTGACCTTCGTCAATGTAAAGTGGGATGATTTCAAACAATGGCATGAAAGTGAAGCCTTTTATCGACTCAATTGTAGAGTAAGTACCTTGAGATTTTAATGCCTCTAAATTAATTATTTCGGAAGGGAACCAAAATCCTACTTTCCATCATATATAAAAGTTAACCTATGATTTGATTTGAAAAAAGCATGTTGTTTGATTATCTTCATCATGGTGCGTTCAAACTATATTAACCTAAAATCAATTCTTCAAGAAACTTACAAGCATAGAACACAGGGCACAGTAGAAGACAATGAAAATTGATCTAGCTAAATTTGGAAGTACACATACCCGTCTTTATGAAACCCTCCCAGGAGTGTATCTTATGATATCTTCAAACCAAACAATTTTCATACCGCAAGAGATCACAATATCAAACTCTACCACGAGTTTATCAATATCCTTTGTTCTTTTTGAACCTGGTAATCATCAGACCGCAAGAGGCCACAATATCAACCCCTCGTCACACATACAGAAACTCAGTCAATACTCAGTTGTCAGGACAGCTATGAGTAGTAGTTGCACCAGCTTGATTGAAAAGTAGGTGAAGCGAGAAATTTACATATAAAGCTACATGTATCTCTTCCTTATCTCTGAATATCCTGTTTTTCATCACCAAATATTTTGATGCATACACTTTTGTATACTATGATTTGATAGAAGTTCTACTTACTCTGTTGTCCGATCAATATAAAATTATGTAATTGTAAATATTAATTAGTGAGACATGAAGATGTCATGGGACATTTAAGCAGTATACTCTATCACTAACATGTCGTCATCGTGATGTTACAAGAACATGTCATTATCATATTTTTAAGTTCAATACTCCAAGGGAGATAAATCTTGCAGCCATAATGTCAGCCTGAGAAATAAAATGGAAAAGTGGTTGATATTTGTACAGAAGGTAGTCTAATCTGTACCTTGATGCTTTGCGCAACGATTTGTCTGACACGCACCCTCAATAGAAGCTACACAGATCTTCCACTTAAAAGAAGTTGGCATAATCTCGGTTGGTTTTGTCATCCAATATGTTACTCTGCAACAAAATGTAAAGAATTAGAAAGTAAAAGAATAATGAGGCAGAGCAACGAACTGGGTATAACAATTTCCATAAATCGTATATGCAGTTTAGTCAAACAACTCTTAAATCGTTAAATTGGCACAGCGAGGGAGTCTTTTCTTGGAGTAGTGCAATGTATGATGTGGAAATCATTCTGTAGAAGTTTGTAAAACCACAAAGGACATATAATGCATTGGCCATAGTAATAAGAAATGTATGAGG